CTCCTCTGCCTGGCTCATGCTTCCTTCTTGCAGCTCCTCTTCCTCTAGTGACGTGTGGGTGAGTGTGGGGCTTGAGAAGCTCACAGAGGGACTGGTGGTGTCCTTGTCACCGTGCCCCCCAGGGCAGCAGGAGTTCCTAACCCCCTGGAGGCAGCTGCTTCACAGAAACCAGGCAGATGGCCCTGCTTCCATGAATGAAGGTTGAGCTCTGTGTCTGCTGAAGGGATGGGCCTCAGCAATCCTTGAAATGAATGGATGAGTCCATCTGCCCTCTTACTCATTAAATTTACATCTCCCATAGCAATTGCACTTGATGATCCTAGTTCTGCAGTTCACAAGTCCAGGGAGAGATGAGGTTACAGAGGCTTTGGTTAAAGTCACCACAGCACAGGAATGCTTGTCATCTGGCCATCGAGTGTAGCTAGGGCAAGGCTGAGCTGGCAGCCCATCCTCAGCCCAGCCAACACCCCGTGGAGCACCCTGAGTGTTCAAGGACATACACAGCGATGAGCACAGAGGCCTGCCCGAGGAGCCTCGGCCACTGTGAGTGCAGGGACTCAAGGGCAAACCAAACTGCAAGAAGGATGTGCCAACTCAAGCCACCAGCAGGCAGCAGTCCTCAGCCCTTCGTAGTGGTTGTCAGACAAACCCAGTAAGTCTGTTGCTCAGAATAAAGAGGCTGCTTGGCGAAGGGTGGTGCTGAACAGAAACCGAAGGCCAGGCGACACTGGCCCAGTGCAGGACCGTGGGGAGGAGAGCATGAGGCGTCCTTACCTGAGGGCACGGCCAAGCAGGGGCTCTGCAGTGGGGAGGACAGAGCCGCCCCAGGGCAATAGGAGAAGAGACAGAAACATCCGACTGCACTGACCACAGCAGTAAGGAGTGCTTCCCCTGTGCCAGGCTCTGTGCCCCTGAGGGAGGCCCCTCTCTGTGGCCCCCTGGACACAGTGTGCCACCAAAACAACTCCTGAGCACAGCCCTGGCCCGCCGCGGTGAGAGGTGCTGCTGCTGCACCATCTGGAAGGCTGATGTCCAGGCACTGATGTGGCTCATCAAACGGGAAAATCAATCCAGCTCAGCTGGCCATGCACATTAACAGAAGTTTGTTTATCAAGTTATTAAAGACGAGGAAGTACTCCTGGAGGGGTGGTAAGACAGGTGCTCTCGGGCTATGTAAAGGAATGTCTACTATTAAAAGAGTGTTTCTGGGCAATAACTGCAATGTTTACCAGTAAACTTTCATGTACATATTCCACTTCTGATGAACTGTCAAGAAAACAATATAAAATATAGACTATAACCATGTGCTGCACAACATTATCTGAATAGATAATCTAATTGCCCTATAGTTGGTGATGTTAAATACATTAGGATATAACCAAACGGTTGGATATTGTTAAGACATTAAAAATATAGTATATATGAGAAAAATGTTTCATGGCAAGGGAAGATGCTTATACAATCCTTTAGTGCAGCGGATCTCAACCTGTGGGTCACGACCCCTTTGGGGTCAACCCTTTCACAGGGGTCGCCTAAGACCATCGGAAAACACATATATAATTACATATTGTTTTTGTGATTAATCACTATGCTTTAATTATGTTCAATTTGTAACGATGAAATTGGGGGGTCACCACAACATGAGGAACTGTATTAAAGGGTCGCAGCATTAGGAAGGTTGAGAATCACTGCTTTAGTGGTATCTCCTTCTGGTGACTGGATCGAGTCCCCTCTAAGGAGTCATCCCAATGTGACTCTCATTCCTTGCTGCCAGTGACATCACCCCTGCCTAAGCCAGTCAAGGCAATGCCTTGCCCTCCAGGCATTGGCTGGGTGTGGGCCGATGACCCAATGAGGAACAAGGAGACACCTGAGACTAACTGAGACTTCCTGGAAAAGAGGCTTTTGCTCCTCCCCCACTGGGTAGACACACTGAGCCTTCTTTCCAAGGCACCCAGGAGCACAGTGAAAGTCCCGAGAGTGGAGAGAACACCCCTGGAGCTCCGCCTGTGCGGGCCAGGTTCTGCTGAAGCCACGCCTTCGCTGGACTTGTCAGCTGTCATGAGTTAGCCCCTGTTTTCTTAAGCCTGCTAGCACTCTCCTTTTCTGCAACCTGCAACAAAAGGAACTATATGGCATACCCCAACTTTTTTAAATTGTGGCCAAGTACACACAACATAAAAGTCACCATTTAAGTGTGCAGTTCAGTAGCATTTAGTACATGCTCGTTGCTATGTAACCATCACCACCATTTGTCTCTAGAACTAGAATTCTGTACCCGTTAATCAATAACACCCCAATCCTCCTTCCCCTAAGCCCCCGGCAACCACCATTATATGCATTGGACTATTCTAGAACCTCATATAAGCTCACTATTTGTCCTTTTGTCACTGGCTTACTTCATTCAGCATGTCTTGAAGGTCCATCATGTTGTGGCATGTGTCAGAATCCCTTTGTCATGCTGAATTAAGTTCCACTGCACGTGTGTGCATAGTGCACAGAGGAGGACGTCACAGAGACCTGGGCAGGCACCTGGGCCAGCCAGGCATCCCAGTAGCTGTGTGATGCCGGCCCATCGCCAACAGCAAAGCCAGGTGTCACTGAGAAGCAACAGCAGGCGGCACCCGCTGGAAGCCCTTCCCCGCCCCCACCCCGCCTTCCAGCTTTAAGAAGCTGAGCTGACACCACTTACATCTGCCTCTTTGGACTAAGTGAACCTACATGCACTTGGACAATTTAGGAAGGAGATGCCCTGAGGGAACAAACTAGACTTCTGGGTAGCAGGGACCAGAAGGCTGCACACTCTCATTTGAAAACAACGTAAGAGATACGGACATATTGATACCCTGGGTTTGGGGGCAGATCATTCCAGAAATTTGCAGGCATGCTGCCCGCACAGTGCCGAGCACCGGCACGCCACAGCTCACGGGACTGAGACTCCGAGCCCTGCTCCTGGAGCCTCCCTGCGGGTGTGGTGACTCCACGTGTAAGCAAGTCCCCCATCCCCTGCCTGAGACGCCCACACTATCAGCAAACCTGCAGTTTCTTCTAACTCCTTTCATGGAAAACCCGACCTGAATGGGTACATGATTTTACTCACTTCACTGCAGAAATATCAATGCTCTTGACTGCAGGTTGCTGCCCCAACCCCATTGGGGATGTCACGGTATGCATGCCCTACCACATCCCCAACCGGAGCTCTGCATCGGAGAACACTCCTGGCCCAAGGGCTTCGGACAGGAGACTGGAGCTGTATGTTTCTTGAAACGTTAGCGGTGGGCATGACTGCACGATGAGGTTGTAGTTTACTTCCTTCTTCATAGTGTGTTGCATTTCCCACGTTATCTGCACTGTGTACTGCTGTTACAATCAGGAAAGAAAACCTGTAGGTATTTCAAAAGCATCAGGCTCCTTGAGCTTCCCTGGGCACATTAGGGCCATCCCATGCCACCCTGCGCTCCACCTGCAGTGGG